ACACACACACAAAGAGAGAGAGAGAGAGAGAGAGAGAGAGAGAGAGAGGATGGAAAGTGAGAAAGCAAGCCACGAGGTCTAGGACTCGAACCATGGTCAACCATGTGGGAGTGTCCAGCACCTCAACCACCATGTCACCTGCTGGTCCCTTATCCTTCTTTCTTAATCTACCTGTTTCCTTGCTGTCTTTGCTCACTACCTCATATGCTTTGAGACAAACTAGGAATCTACTTAAAGATATTTAGAGCTCCTGGTGAAACCTGAAGGCACTGTCTCAGAAGTGGCAGAGGTAGGATGAGTACCCGAGTTCCTCGGCCTCCTCCCCAGAACACCCAGCTCTCAGCACTCTAAGTCAGGCCTATGATGTGTCTGTAGCATGCTGGAGAATTCACGGGGAGAGCAAGGAGCAGAGCTCTCTCCTCCCAGAGACCAGTCTGACTCCTCCACAGCTATCTGTTGAGTATTTATCTGCTGGGACCTGGCAGGTGAGAGGTAGAGATGAGGTCTCTGTCCATGCCATGCTAATAGACTGGGTCTGACCCAGTTCCAAAGACCAAGCCTACTCTGATTTTTTTTTTTGCCATTTTGTTTTAAAGTTTATTCCTTTGTCTCATGAGTGAGACAGAGAGAGAGAGAGCACCCCCAACAGGGTACTGACACTGCAGTCTCACCTCCGTCTCAGCTGTCCCCGGAGCATGAGCATGCAAGTGCCCAGTGCACTCAGGGAAGTCTCCAGATGTGAATCTGGAACTTCCCCGTGTAAGTCAGCCTTGCAGGGCATCAAGATTTGCCACTGTGCCACCCTCCAACCCCCCTTCCTCAGAATTTGATCTGACTCCTAGTCTGCTCCGGTCCAGACGATCTTCTGAGAGAAGAGATCACTTAGAGTAAATATCCCTTGAAGATAGCAAAGAGAATAAATGCCTAGTCCAGAGTGTGTACAGACCTCCGGTATGGCATGTGTTTCACAGAGAGACAGGTAGGTATAGACCTCTACTCTGTGTAGACATAACTAAGAGAGGAGCCCAATATCTTTACACCTTTAAAGGCGTTAAGAGGGGAATCACAGAGGAACCTGCTGACATTAGAATCCCAGAACAAGATTTGCTCTCTCTGGTAGTATGAGAAATGTTCTAATATCTAGAATCTCACCTTGTAGGTTTGGTTTTGTTTGGGGAGATTTTTGCTATTAGACTGTGTGTGCTTGCCAGAGAGACACAACTTGACAGAAAGTGAGAAATCATCACCCAGAGGAAATGGCCATGCCACAATCTCTTCTCCATTCTCCTCTTGGGATTTTGGGCATGCATGCACATGGTATTTTTCTTTCTTTTTTTCTTTCTTTCTTTCTTTCTTTTTTTTTTTTTTTTTTTTTTTTT